AGAGAGAGAGAGAGAGAGAGAGAGAGAGAGAGAGAGAGAGAGAGAGAGAGAGAAACACGCCTTCACGGTCCGGCGGCGGAGTGTTACAACTTCGTATGCATCGGCAACAATCCCTGCATCCGCTTCCGGTCGTGCTTGCGCGCGAGCACGAGCAAACTTCTTGCCGGCGCTTACCGGCGACCCGCCGAGTCACGCGGTCAAGATTTGCAATTCCTGCACTTTTCCCGCCGACCCATGCCGTTCTACGACCCTTCCCACCCTTGCACCACCCTCCGCCCTGCCGTCACGGGAGCGGCCACGTCCGCGAGGAATTCTAAATTTCCTCGAAATTGAATGCGACGAGGAAGTTCGCCGCGATTCGGCGCTTCCGCGGCCGGTTGGAGCGTGTAAAACCGGTGTGGTAACTTCCGCATGCGGCACCTGCTCCAGCGAGAGGAGGAGGAGGGAACACATTGTGGCTGCTCGGTTATGGTCGCGCGACGATATTTAGACCGCCTTTAGAGCGAGGGAACCAGAGAAAGAGAATGAGAGAGAGAGAGAGATAGACAGACGTACGGAGAGCGAGAACAAAAGCGAGAGAGAGAGAGAGAGAGAGAGAGAGAGAGAGAGAGGGAAAGAGGGCACACAGGTGTGCTGAAGTTTAACTTGAAGCTACCCGCTGCCGGCTCCATGGGGGATTGTTGCTTCGTACACGTTCCTCGACGCGAACGGACTCGTTTATCTTGGGATGATTGCGTGATTTATGCAACTACACCGCTCGCAGCCGCTAACGTGACTCGACGCGTTAATTGTCTATCGTCGCAATTATCCCAGTCGCCCGTGTCGTTTAGACGCGCGTCTCTCGATACATCACGAAGTTCCCGCGCACGTGACTAGAAAAATTCATTTTTTAAAACTTTTCATTCAATTTATCACTCCAATTAGCTTCATCTCAGTCAATCAGTTATCTGATTGGCACAAGGTGGTGTTATCGGATCTTAAATATTAATAATCTTTATTATTAAACTCTTCAGTGTCAATTTAAAATGATCACGCGATTCCTCCTCCCAGAGCGGATTTTTCTTCTTCTTTAAAATATCTAAAATAAATTTAAAATAAATAGCGTATCTTTCCAGATTTCTCTTCTCTAAGAATTTTCAAAAATAGAATATGCAATATATCCAATTTTCTTTACAATTCTTCATTCGCTACAAATTAAAAAACAATACGATAGTTTAAATAAATCATAGAAAATTTAATATTTTATTACATTTTCGGGCATACCGTTTGATATTCTAAAAAAAATGTTGGAAATTTATTTGTAAGATATAAAATTTACTTCTATGAATAAACTATCAAATATTTTCTTTCAGCGTGAGATTCTGATTGCCACGTTACTTTACAGGACTATCAGGACTCGAGAGATAACCTAACTTTACTTAAATCAGGTAACTGATTAGAATCAACCTATTCAGGAGCATAGGGTGAATGTCGGGTGTGCATAATCTCATTCTTGCGCGCTGCGAAATTTCCTTTCTTTTTTCCATCGCAATCGTTATCTCATTCTTTATTTTTCTCTTCGGGGCAATCATCTGATTTCCAAGCACCCGCCTAAATCCCGCGTACTCGACGGTACTCTGGCCTGCTTCCTCGCGTGTCCACCGCGTCACGTCGTTGCCGCGGCGCAGCGTAATCCGGCCGGGAAGCCGGTTACGCTCGCCCTCATTAACTCGCCTCAACAATGAGCGTGGGTGTCGGCGTAGTACGTCGTCGTGGGGTCCTTTCAACCTCTGCCTCCCCCTCCACCACATCCACACCCTTCTCGAGACCGACGCCAATGGCGCACGCGCGAGCTGTCCTGCTCTCTCTCACTCTCTCCATCTTTCTCTGTTCCTCTCTTTAACGATAACGACGACGACGACGACAACGACGACGACGACGACGACGACGACGACGACGACGACGACGGCTACGGCCATGGCAACGACGACGACGACGACGACGGCGATGGGGGACGATGCGTGTGGGGGTGGTTCGCGCGTAAAATCGCGCCGAGCAGCGGCGCTCAGTCGCGCGAGACACGTCGCGGGGTGCGGTTGGATCGTCGTGGTGATCGCGGTAGTGGGTGCCTGCCTGCGTGCGTGCGTGCATGCGTGGGTGCGTGCATGCGAGCGTGCGTCGGTACGTTCATCTGTCCGTCCGTTGGTTCGTTCGTTGATTCGTTCGTGCGAGTGATTCAATAGAATAGAACAGAAGAGAGACAAAGACGACTCCCTGCCGTCCTCGCGGGGCTATCTGTGCCTTTCGCGCGGGGGTGGCACCGACGAGATGCGCGCGTGCCGATAACGATAAGGCCGCCAGGGATGTGCCTAGCGGGGGGCACTCGGGCCCTCCTGCTCTTGGCGCTCGTGCTGTGCCAGCGTGCCGGCCGCGTCGATGGCAAGAATGATAACTGTGAGTACGCGTGCTTCTTATCGATGTAACTCGGCGGGAACAGTCCAACGGAATATGCGAACGGCAAGAGGCAGGGTTAGTTCAGGTGTGCGGTATTCGCACGCACGGAATTTTCGCCCAAGTGTTTCTGTCTAACCGCGCTCTGGACAACCGTGGGGATTCGACTCGACTAGCTAGAAAGCATCCTCCCGCGCGGACGTCTTCGAGGCAAACACGCGAGCTGTCGTCGCTGACGTGCGCGCGAGGATGTCTCAAATGCACGTGCGAGTCGCGCGAGATCTCGATCCACTCGGGTCGGTATTTTCGATCGGACACGAAATTTGCAAAATCGCTCGGATACGTCGTTTGTGACGGTTTAATTCGCTCTTTCATCTGCGGAGCTCGCGCTAAGGTACACACACATACACCAGCCGGCTACTCTGTGCAACGCGAGTGCAGTCAAAAGGATGCTGATTAGACGACGATTGCAGTGTAACGCGATTTATAATAAACTGACGTAATCGCGCGGACATCGTGCGTATCGCGTCAGAAATATCGCGAACGGAAGTACGTGTCGTTATCGTTATGTACGTAGCTGGTAATGAACTGTTATGAATGACGGTGATAAATTATGGCGGTAGATACGCGTTGGCCGTTGAACCGCCGCGTAAACGTAACTTAGCCGTCGGCGTTATCCAGGATGCCTGAATCTGCGCGATATCCTCGCCTAAGCTCGCCCCGCCAAATTAAGATACGGATACATCATGTAGTCGAAATATCGAAATGTCGAGGGTCGTCGACAGGATGTCGTCCTAAAATGTGCTTCTATTATAAGAACACTTCGAGCTTTCCTTTTATCCGAGACCGCCGCGTTTCGGCTTTCACATCAATTCTACGATTCAGGAGTTGCACGCGGGTCGCCCCGGATATTTCGCCGACCCCGTTAAAAATGGCCGCGCGACGCGAAAGCGGACAAGCTTTACGAGAATATTTCCAACGGTGTCGACGTGTGTTCCCTCTCAAAGGAGAGCTCGCGACGAAGAATTTGTGGACTGTTCGTTTACAAATTTATCATCGCTTGATAACCGCGAAGGACGCGACGGCGCGCGCTATAAATTCTTGCCATTAATATCAAATTTGTGTCGCGGACCAGACTGGTAAACAACCATTTTGTGCCAAAGATAAAATTATCAAGTTATTTTCACTAATTTTTACGTGATGAATTCAACTGTAGCAAGCAAAACGTTCTATTGACAACAGTTTTAAAGATGCACGATTATGGATTTTCGTACATTTTCCTTCGAAATTAATATTATCTTTGTGTTTGGCAAATCTCGGCAGAAATGTTCCAACACTGCTATGTTAGAATCAACATTTCATGACGATGAGACCACCCTGTTTCGTACTACGGAAATTGTTTTATTGCTCTGTCAGGGTGGTTTATGAGGGTAAACAGAGATTCAGGTAAATTTTCAGTCAAGAATATCATCTATAACATATTCATGCTACATGGCTGTTGATTATTCCAGGAATTGTCGATTTTTTGAATAATCAATAGTCGTGATGGGCGAATATATGATGTGCTTGTCCGGGTTTCAAACGTCATTATAATAAGGAATGGGACTGTATTTATGCGTTTTAATTGTTTCACCATCACAAAGACATATTCGCTCTAATCGACTGAAACATTCACTCGTGCGAAATCGGAGTCCACTCTAAGCTGGAGTGAAGCATTCACTCTTGCGATTTTGCGTGACAGTATCTATCACTGTTATTTCAAGAGGAAGTACTGGCACTTTTTATTAGTTTTAAATGAAACTTTAATCCAAGAAACTTGGAAAGTGTTTAGCTTCAAGAAGATTCTTCTTGAAAAAGGAAAATATTCTAAGCCTGATATTGTCCCTCTTTAAAAGAAGAATATTCTTTCGACTTTCTCTCAGATTACAGCGTCTTGCAGCTGGAGTTCTTTTCTGAGAACATTTTCCTTTTGGTTTGAGAAGAATCCTCTTGAAGTCACAAGAGAATCCTGCTAAGGATAACATTGTTTAGATGTAAAATTATAAACATTCTAACGGGGTCCTAAACCCAATAATTATGATAATTAATCTAACTTATCTGACGTTAAATTAGAAAAGAGTCGTAAGTAGTCACTATATACGTCTTTTAATCTATGACAACCGAGAAAATTGGTTCACTTATTTTCGAGAAAGAAAGAAATCTCACGGGTTTTTCTTCAAGCCGTAAACCGTCTCGTCCAAAGCGAATTTTCCCCGTGCTCTCTACTCTGCTCTCTTTCTACTCCCTCCTGTAAAATTTACTCTCCACGGTTCACGTCTGTAATTATTCGCTGGCGCGCAGTATTTTCACGCCTGAAACTCCATCGGCGGCTTCGCATACGCAACTAAAAGTAGGTTATGCCCATATTCGTTGCGTCCGCGGCAAGAAAAGTTGTCTTCTTAATGCATCAGGGGCGCATGTGTCTCGCATGATGTGTGCGGGGGAGTTGGCGCGCGACGCGCCCCGGATCTCGCTTGGGATAGGTAAGGTTTACGATACCGTGGCGGGAATCGATCCTATCGCGACGAGTGCATCGGCACGAACGTCATGCAGTCCACTGTGTAGTCCGTACGCATACGGATAACTCTCTTTCCCGTTAGCTTCCCCGTGGCGTGCCTCACCGGCGAGAAAATACCCGAAAGCTCGCCTCTTTCGAATCTCGAGGTACGAACGAATGTCGATCGATTGAGTACACCGAGCGCCCGGCAAATTGCAGTACAATCTGCGAGGAGGCGTGATTTCCCGCGGTAAAATAAATCAAACGTGCGGAATAATTCACTTTCGCGCGCGGCGCGTCGTTCCCTCCTAAACATTCGCTACAAATCGCAGCGGAAATGTTTCGCGAGGAGCCCCTCGAAAGCGACTTTTTTAAGTGCCGTCACAAGATTCATGCCGAAATGGAGGTATCTTCGAATTAAACGTTTCCCGTTTTACAAGTCCATACTCGGCCGAGGCCGGGGACGCGCGAGAGCACTTTTCGAAACGTCGATACTCCGGGCGCGGCGACGCGGATTAAGTGCCGCTTCTACGACAGCGGGGTCGCCGTGTCGCGAATTTTTACGGGCCGTCTTCGTCCCCGTCTCCGTCCCCAGCCACGTCGCCGGGCTCGTATTCAAAACACGAATATCGTTTCCCTTTTTAGTGGGCGGCCATTGTGTCGGCATAATTCCACGGCAGCCGCCCGCGACGAAGAATTTTTACGATCGTGACCCTCTCTCCCTCGACCAGTTGTTGGCCTCCCCTCTTCGTCCTCCTCCTCCTCTCCTCTTCCTCTCCTATTTCGTTCTTCCGTGATTTCATTAGACGCGAATTCCGTAGCATCACGACCGAGATTTTAGTATTTCATAGTCGATAAAACGTTTGATCGGCCAGGCACCTCGGCGCCAATCGCGACGTGTACGGATTTACGGGCGCGTTCGCGATGAATGCGCCTCGTAAACGAGGTCGAAATATTTGTAAAGGACGACGGGATGCGCGCGATTATTCCGACGTGCACATGAGTCCTCGCAATGAATCCCGGGGCCGCTGTGTTTCGTAAAGCTATACAACGCCCGCGATGTATAGCCAAACTAGCTCTCTCTCTCTCTCGCACGTATAAGTTAAGGGTTCAATGTTCTCTCGCCGACAGGAGATCAAGTATTACTATTGTGGCGCTATGTTAACTTCGCTAAAAATGAGATTAGACACTCAAACAACCAAAGCAGCCAAAATTTTTTGTAAAAATTGTTACAATTTATAACGACGCATTTTATATTTCTCTGACTAACGTTGACTAAAACTAAGAATAAACAGACATATCTCTCCCCTTGCTTTCCGTATTTTCACGGAAATTTGTCACTGGTGAACACACTGAGAAAAAAAATCTAAGAAATAAGATATATTTATTCGCGCGTTGGGTATACGTAAATATTTTCATTTATACTAAAATATACATATTTTTACATTGAGAAATAAATATATCTTTAAAAAAACATGTTTTCTTATAATCTCAACTTTCTACAAATTGCAATCGTTTATTCTATTTAAACGAAAGATTATATTCATAAATATATTATTATATTAATAAATACAGATTTCAGCAATTAACTACTACTACCCATTAAATATTTTAAATTTTTTACACTCTCAATGTAAAAATGGATTGTTAATTGTCGGCGGATCTAGTGTTAATCCCCTTCGGCGATCGCAGGTAGTCAGAGCGACGATAAAATCACACGGTATAACATCGCGCTGAATCCGCCGCGAATCGCGAGTGGTGTCGATTAAATTTTGAGAGAAAAGCTCGGTCTGCGCGAACGCGCACGCATATTTCGCCTGTATGGCGCGCGACTTTTGCCTAGCTCGCACGACGGATCGAGTCGATGTCTTTCGCTCGTGATAAAGAGTCACGGGTCGCAGGTAAACTCTTAAGAAGCGACTGCGTCGGGCCCGCCGATAACATTGTTCCCGATAGCCTCTTATTTTCTGGCGGATAAAATCGGCCGACGTGTCGCCGGCAAAAGTTTCAGCTCGCGCGCGCAGAGATACACCCTCTTCGCGACGAAGCGTATGTGGAGGAGGAACTCGACGTTCGGGCGCTTCCTTGGGCACCAACTTGCGCACCGGAGAGTAGCGGAGGGGAAAACCAAGTAACAAAACGATGATGCCTCCGCGGAATCTGCGAATCGATAGCGCGCGCCTCCGTTGTTTCGCAATCGTGCCAAAAGCCCGTGCACGCGAAAACGCGGCCCCAACGAGAAACGCGAGATCGCGCGATCGACGCTACGTATGAAAAGATCTACGGTCGCCTGACCTCGGCGAGAAAGAGAGAAGAAAAAATGAGGGAGTAGAGAGAACAGATGCTTCGACATGACTATAAAAGCACCTCGTCCTCCGCGTGTCACAAGGGAGAGATACAGATAATAATGCGCGCGCACTCGGCGTATTTGCGAGCGCGAGAAAACTTTCGCGATGTGCCCGGAGCT